CACTTTATCGTTGACTCCACTTACCACATGACTTAGTTCACGTGAAAAATGCGTACGCTTCTTTTATGAACAAATGTGGATCCAACACGTGGTCTTTTTTATGTGTATTTATTATTTTGACACTTTAATCTTATTTTTAATATATACACCATTGTAATCTATAAGGTGCCGCATGCTGGCTGCAAATAAAAAAACAAAACATCTAGATACTTGATATACCAAGACAATAAGATTATGGTGTTGGGTAATACTACCTTCGGTCCTAATTATAAGAGCTAGTTGACTAATTTTAAGAAATTAAAAAAGTAAGTTGAGTTAGTTATTTGTCCTAAATAGGTGTTGTTTTTCCTAAAATATCATTGCTAATCAAGTGTATCGACTAGAATTATAATTATTAGAAGGACTATCTTGAAAAAAATTGAGTAAATATGAGAGACAAAATGGATTGAGATGTTATATTTAAGATTAAAATAAAAGTCAAACAGAGTCTTATATTAACGACCGGAGGTAGTAAATACACTATATAAAAAAATTAAAATACTAAATGTACCCTGTAAGATGAGGATGATGAATATATTTTTGCCCTCCTTCTATTTGTCGGGAAGTGTTTCCCAATCTAATTTAATAAAAGACAAATAATTTTAAAATTAGAAGAAAGTAAAACCGGGCTAAATTATCACATTGAACAATCAAATTCTTGTCGTTCTCAAGTCATCATACGCCTGAATAATCGTGATTTGCAATGTTAGGTGTTCGGTGGATTTATGATTATTACTGCATCGGCGCAACGTGAACAAATCCTATCCTTTAGTTTTAATTCTTGTTGTCTTCTGATAAAAAGAAAGAACATTCGTGTTGTCTTGAAAATTTAAATGATAAATAAGCATAAATAAAAAATTCAAGAAAAAAAAAGGAGTATTCTATAACACTTTGGTAAGTAAAAATTACTGCTCTAATTCTTATTATAAACGCTAACTAGACAACTAATTTAATAATATTAAAAAAATTAATTTAGTTATTTTCTAATAAAAATGTATTATCTTTTTTAAAATATCTTTGTCAACCATATGTATTGAATCAATTCTTGCAATTATCATAAGGATTATTTAGAAATAAGATAGATAAATATGAGAGATATAGTGAATTGAAGTTTTATATTTATGATTAAATTAAATATCTAATTATAACTCTTATATTAAGAACCAAAAATAGTATTACATAATGCAAAATCAGGACATGATAAATATCTAATTATAACTCTTATATTAAGAACTAAAAATAGTATTACATAATGCAAAATCAAGGCATATAATAATGTCCATTAGACTAATAACATTTGATCTAGTTGATAAAGAATTAATTCATAACCTACAATATTATAAGTTCATGTTCACAGATAATATGAGAATTTTGTTAGAAAAGAAATTTGTAAGTATATCTGAAGACGCTCTCTAAATTTGAAAGCGTACTCTAACTTTAATGAACTTTTAAAATCCAACTTACTGAAACTTTTATGTTCACATATATTTACTAACTATAATTTTTTTGACTTTTTTTTTGTTTTTTTTGTTTTTGATAAATGCAATGATGATTGATGTTATTGTTGGGTCAAAGGTGTCCTACTCCTCCTACCAACTCAAGACAAAATGTGCAGAAAGGATTATCTCAATAATATTGATTTGTAAGATTTGCCATGTCCATACCGCTATCTTGCTTGGAAAGATCATTTATTCTCATGCATCAACTTCAATTCCAAGGAACAAACTTTGACCCTTCAGAAGAGTTGACCAATTTGATGTAACCCTACTTGCAACTTCATAACAGATTCAGTTATATCATTTTGTATTAGCGTGAATATATAGTAATTTGAACCAGTGTTTATGTCATTTATTGCTATATATTTTTATGTTCATAAAAGAATTTTATTTTTAAAAATTGTTTTGCCACGGTTAATATTAATGCTTTTATCTAATTACTCTAAATCCTAATCAGATTAACTTTTTCAAAACAGGTAAGTTTCAACGTTCAAGTTGTCCACTTTAATTAAGGAGAAGTGCGTTCCTTTTATCACTCCACCCAACCATCATTGATAACAATGTTAATGTTGTTTTAATTATCTATTTGTGAGGTATTATGACATCATATCTAAATATTGTTAGGGTAAATGCTTTCACAATGTAGTCTCCTTCCGGTTCTTTAATATAAGGGTTACTATTTAGTTAATTTAAGTAGATTAATAAAATTAGATAAATTAGTTAATTATAATGAAATTGACCTAATCTTTAAAAAAATGTTATTGTGTAATATTAGATTATATTTTCTTTGCCAAAAACATTAGATTATTTTTGTAACTGAGTTGATACAATTTTGGTTCTTGTGTTTGTCTTTATTTTAGTTTTGATTTCTTGAGTTTCTTTCTATTTAAAACATCGATCCCTATACTTTAATAAAAATTTGGATCATTTTGCCGCCTTTGATGAACCAAAACATGTTATTTGAAACTCAATAGATTAAAAGTAAAATTCGTGCAAATTTAAGAAAATAAAAATTATATTAATCCTTTATAATTTAAATAACTTAATGTCATAAAAATAATAAATACGAAAGACAAAATAAATTGAAATTATATAATTAAGAGAAAACCAAACATCCCAACTATTTCTTATATTAGGATTGAAAGGAGTAATTATTTTCATTAACAAGATTTAGTACTTATCTCGAGTTGCTTAATATAAGTTTTTTCACTTAAGTCAAAACAAAACTCTCCTCGCATACTTATCTTGTATTCCGTTAATTATGATTAAAAAGTTACTCCTCCGGTCCTAAATATAAGAACTTTATACACATTAATATAAGGGTCTCTCCGATTTGTCACCTTATACATACTAGTATAAAGGTCTTATATTTAGGATCGGAGGAGTAACTTTTTAAAGGCTCCAATCACCATTCTAAACAAGGCATTGAGCTGTCAGTTTGTCACCTTCCTTAGAAAAAATTTGAGCAGTATAGAAAAAATTGAACAGTACTGTCTCTGGTTCTTTTTATAAGAGCCAAATAACTAAATTACATTGTTTAAAAAAGGGTTAATACAAATTTTAGTCTTTCAAGTTTGTCCTTATTTTGGTTTTAGTCCCTCAAATTTCAAACCATAGGTTTTTGTCCCTCAAATTTCCTTTCATTTAAAACATTGGTTCTTATAATTTAATAAAAAACTGGATCATTTTGCCCATTGAGGGATCAAAACCTATGATTTGAAATTTGAGGGACTAAAACCAAAATGAAAACAAACTTGAGGGACTAAAGTTTGTATTAACCCTTTAAAAAAATAGTTAAAATTAGTTAAAAGTAATAAATATAAAAAATAAACTTTTTTTTTCAAGCATGCTGATATTTATGAGAGGTAAGAGGAAAAAAAGTATGAAAGAAAATATAATAAACTTTTTAATTAATGCAATATATAAAATTAATTAGGAACAAAAATAATAAAAACACGTTGCATAAAAAAAAAAAAATCAAGGCAATTCAAATTTGAGGAGTATATTCTATATGATTCAATGGCAATTGATTAACGGGTTCATTAACACCATATTTAATCCTTGGTTCTTAATATAACGGATTTATGGTCAATGCGAGTGTGTGAAACCCTTAAAGAAACATTTCAACATCTTGAAATTAATTTCAGCATAAAGAAAGAAGTGGCAAGTCATAAAGACTGGAAGTTTGATCCCCAAAATCACGCATTTACTTGGCCTAACTCCAAGCTAAGCATATTCTGAGCATACATTCCAAATATTCCCCACTCTTTTTTCCAACCTCCAGATAAATCTAAGCTGGAGGAAGCTTGATTATAATTTAAACCCATATCCTAATCCATAAATAATTGTATAAATTGCTTTCAAACTTGATTAACAGGAAATTTCATAAGCTTTTTTTTTTCTTTCCTTTTTTTTTTTAAATTTTTTTGGGAGTCACCCACAGTTTTCTTTCTTTAATTTGGCCAGCACCTAAACGTTGCTTTCAGACGGTGAAATACGTGGCATATAATTTACTGTATCTTCTTGGAGTTGACAATAGCATTATTTGAAATCCTACAGAATGACACCCTTGCCCTCAACGGGGCTCAAACATGACTGCAACTCATCATTTTTTTATTTTGTTTTTATAATCATTACTTAGTAATTTTTTTCCTTCTTGTTTTATTAAATATTTATTTTTATTATTAATACTTGATATTTTTATTATTTTTTAAAAATATGAATGAATATTATTTTTATTCTCAAAATCAATTTTTCCTCAATATATTTTTATTCATTTTCATGTATTGAATGAGTCCTTACATTATGGTCACTTAGTCATAAAAAATTGTGCTAAAAAATAATTACCATGGATATTTTTAAATTTACCATTCATGCTTTCTCAAAAGTAATTTATTTATTTTCCAGTAAAATAACATTTTAATTTTTTATCAAATATTTTGTGCTAAATAAAAATAAAAATATAATTTTATATAATAAATACCAAGTACCAACAATAATAATATATTTTAGAGAGAATCGCTGTAGAATCTAAAAAAAATATAATTATTGAAAAGTCTCAATGATAACAGAGTAGTTAGTAATGATAAGTTTCAGTGTGAGAATTTTTTTAATAATTATTTTCTTTTCATAAGGTCTTATTATAATTCTTACTACATTTTAATATTTAATTATAAAATTATTAATGTCACCATCTATATTCATTTTTTTAATTAGAAAGAAAGATGCCAACGGTTTAAAGTTATAGATAGAATTGATTTTGTTATGAGAGTTTATTCTACTAGGCTATGCATCCACATGTCTTTTTATTAAGCCCCACAAAACAAAAGGGTAAAATGGTAAAAGAAGATATAGCAGAGGAGTAAGCCAGCGCGGCTTCCCCCAGTCTCGTGAGTGACTCTCATCCCTTCCCTTCACCATTTATATTCACTATCTTCTCTGCAAACTGAATATTCCTCCCAATAATCCATCCACTCTCTCTCTTCCCCCTCGCTCTCACTTACATGTTCCCCCTTATTCACGAACCGGTGGAGCCAGATTCTCTCTGGACAGGCACCTCAATATTCCTCATCTGGTCTTTAATTTTAACTTTTAAATCCTCTTGCAGAGGAATACATAGTGCTCAAAAAGTTATAAAGATGCCCTCTGGTTCAAATTCGATAAGAATATCCGTACGAGGGATCCCATTTCTTGTGTGATTCGCGCTATTCCTCGTTTCCGTATTGGTTGATTGTTTTGTGGAGTTTTATCGCGGTAAGGCAGGGTACAAGAATATTGAAAACGTAAACGTTGCAGACGAAAGGATTTGTTCTTTCTCTAGGGTTCTTGGGAAGTGCGAACATGAGGTTTGAAGGAGAAATCCACACTGAAGTAGAGGAGGAGGCTGAAGAGAAAGAAGTGAATTCAATGGGCGGGTCTCCACAGCAACAGAAACTAGTGGTTGGGTATGCCTTGACGTCCAAGAAGAAGAAGAGCTTTTTAAAGCCGAATTTTATTACTCTTGCCTGGTATTTTCCCTGTTCATTACACCTTTTTCATCATACAAGGAAAAGTATGCTGTTGGTGCTTGGATATTAATGTAATATTTAAGTTTTCTTTGTAACTTCCAGAAATGGATTGCCAAAGGATTTTGTGTTTTCTTTTAGTTTTGATTGTTTCCTGCGCTAAAGCGGCTTTTGCAGAGGTGGGGGGACACAGGTAGTGTCTTTGTCGATGGTGGTGGAGTTATTTTGTACCTTGGCTATCACTTTCGCGAGCCGAAACCCACATTGATTCGCTTCTTGGTATCTGACATCTTGGTCTTTTCTGTGTTCTAATTTAAATGAGAATATTCCACCATATATGCCCTTTGGATTAGTCCACGACGAGAATTCAAAGTCAAATTTTGATACTTTGTTCTTTGTTCTTAGATCAAATTATTCTTATTAAAAACCATCCTCGCTTGTCAGATATGTTGATTTTCGGCATTCTAATGCACGTTTTTGTGCTCTGTTCAAGAAAACCTTGCCGCTAATTCGGGATTATGATTATTAATTACAGGAAATGGTTTCATTTCATTAATTAAATAATTGAGTCTTTTGACTTTTAATTTTTGCGTACCAGTTTACTCTGGAACATATTTGCTTAAAACAAAAATCCGTTGATGAATTGTCTTGAAGTGTCAATACTTTGTGCTCTCTTGAGACCTATAAATATTGATCCTGAAAATTTTTGTGATCCATGATGCAGGAGTAAGGGTATATCTTTTGTTTCCATTGATCTAAACAAACCATTGTCCGAACAAGGTCCCTTTGACATTGTTTTGCATAAGGTGTGGCTTCCTTCATGATTATACCAGTACTACCTTGTAATTTGTAAATGTCTTTATCCTGGGCCCTTTTGTTTACTAGCTGGATTATAAGTTTTTCTGCCTTTTCTTGCTCATGATAGTCTGTTCCATATTATAAAATCAAATATCTCTGTTTCTGTATTCTCTATATAGTCTGACAGGCTGTGTGTTCTTTTCAGCTGTCAGGGAAGGAGTGGCGTGAAGCTATTGAGGTTTGTGAACACCAAAATACTTCTCTCAACTTTCAAATTGTACTGGTAATCCTGTACTGTTGTGATCTTGCATGTGATTGTTTGAAATCATTGGCATCTGCTAAAGCTGGGAATGAAGCGTAAAATGACATTGATCTGAGGGCTAAATCCTCTGAATCCAAAAAAAAAAAAAAATTGTTTTTATCTGTTATAATTTGCAGAGTTCTTGCTCTCCTCATCAGGCATGATAATCAGATAGCAGAAATCAGTCCCTTAATAATTTAAGCAAGTGAGAATTTACATTTCATGGTCAATCTAAATATTGATAAGCCATTGGTGAACTTAGTTGCTGGAAGAAGAAATTAATTTGCCGTTTTCTTGGTCTTTGCTGCATCTTTTTGTGGTTGAAAATGCTGTTCAAAGAAGGTATCATAAAATATTTTGTTATTAGAAATAAATATTACTATAATACCCTTTCTTCCATTTATTTTTCCCCAAAATTTATAATTTTCTTCACAATTTTTTTGTTATGATTAGAATCAGCATATTTCTTGCCAAAGCTTAATATCTTATTTAATATGAAATGATCGAATAGTGCCTTTCCAAAGTGCTTTTAACCTCTATCAAGTACAAAAGGAATTTAAGGATATTCATTTTATCGTCAAATTATGGATTTTAGCAAATGTGCTATATGTTTTAATGCTTAAAATATCAAGGTTAATGCCAACTCTTGTTTGATCTGGTAATTTTAATTTTCCAATCACATGAAAATATTGTTGAATGAAGCTAGGAACTTGTGGTTCAAGAACTGGACGGTTTTCGGTTCTTTCAGAAAGTGCCATAACTAATAACCCAAACTAGCTTTTCTGCTCTTAAGAAATACCGTTAAATCTAACAAATTACCAGTGATAGGAGAAAACGTTCCCTGTTGGTCATTTGAGCAGCCCTCTCACAAGGATCCACATGATCATTTTTGGCTGGAGAGTATTCAGAATGAGTCTTATGCTGCCTGCATATTTCTGGAAGCATTACACAACTCATAAGAGAATATACACATTTCAAAATGAGAATATATAAATTTCAAAATGAGGCAGTTGTTGAGACATTCAAGGGCGTCTCTACGCATCCATGTTTCAGAAGACAAAGGAGAGAAAAAGACATTCCTTGGATCCTATATCTAAAAATTGTTAGCGAAACAACTACAAACGGGGGGTAAAATATAGCAAAACTAATGTCCAGTGATATTTTGAAAGAGGCATATGGCCAATTCTTTTGGCAGCAATAGCTCACCTTGCTTAGCTGTTATCTAGGAAAGAAAAATGCAATCTTGTGATAGTATACAATGCTCTCTCTTTTTAACAGTGCAAAGGTTTTCTTCAATTACTCGATGGTTCCCTTGGGTTCACTTCTGAAGATTAATCAGGTTCTCTTTCTCATCCTGAAATGAGGGAAGAAAGGTGCTTCTTTGGTTGGAATAGAGTTAGGGAAAGTGACAGTTGGTTAGATGTCTCTATGGAATGAAAATTCTGATTGATTGGTCAGCCCTTTACACATTCTCTTGCGTGTGATTCAGTTAAAATGCTTCTTTATCATTGTGTGTGTGTGTTTCCCCTCTGGATATGGTGCAATGTCGAGGTTCATATTCTTGGTTGGTAAGAATAACTTTTGCCATTTTCATCGATCTCAATGGATTGTTCTTTTCTTGAAAGTTTGTCTTGCATAGGCAATCTACCTTCTGTGGAGATAAAGAACAGGGTTGGATGAGATTCCAGAATTCTGGAGACATGAATTAGAACATAGAGATGGAAACTACGGAATGAAGAAGTCTTTGTGGTTTATGTATTCATAAATTGTCTGTAAATGATATGGAGAAATCTCATCTTTAAACTGTCAATGAAAGTTTGCCTTCGTGCTTCTGTAATCTGAAGGAAGTCTGCTTGATGTTCTAGTTGGCCTAGGTATCAGACCATCTTTTTGGCACATTGTTGACCAGCTTACCAAAAGCAGACCAATTAATGATTGTTAGATGATAGTCTTTGAAGCCTTTGTTGTAAATGGATGGCTAATTTTACTCTTTCATCATTTTTTTTTTGAAGGACTACAGGCAAAAACACCCTGAAGTTATCATTGTTGATCCTCCAGATGCAATTCAACACTTGCAAAATCGCCAGTCCATGCAGCAAGTTGTGGCAGATTTAAACTTATCTGACTGCAATGGTAACTTAGTTGCATTAAGGAACCAAATTATAACTTTTATCGGATTATTTACATGAATTGTTTATGAAAAGTAAAAACTACGAGAATTTTAATAGAATTTTGTCTGGGGTTAGCATATAGCTGACGTGTAAGAATAAGTTTATTGCCTTTTGTGTTGTAAGTTGAATCCATATTCTTTCTTTGTTAAACTGGACTTTCTCAGTACCGACCAATCTTTGTATTTTAATAAACTGCATATCTATAGGCAAAGTCGGCATTCCGCGACACTTGGTCATCACAAAAGACCAGTCGTCCATTCCTTACGAAGTTGCTAAAGCTGGAATGAAGTTGCCACTAGGTATATATATCTTTTGTTTCTTCCCCTTTTTGGATCCTTACCTTAGTTCTAGTAATGGAGGATGGCAATTGCTTTGACCTTGGATATGGTGTGAATTCAGCCAATATCTCCACTACTTGATCTTGAATGTTGCATGAGAATGAATTTATGCATTTGAATGAGCTTCTATGGGACTTGATTTTGCTTTGTCAGCTAATCCTTTTCTTAGATGTTGTCTAATGAATCAAAGAATATATGTAGCTAGTTGGTTTGCAGAATTTCTTGTTCTGATTATCCTGTTTGAGTATTTTCAGATTTACTGTCATCTCTTCCATAGATATAGTTTTTAAAATATTCACTTCTTCATTTGCTATTTTCAGTTGTAAAGCCTTTAGTTGTGGATGGCAGTGCAAAGTCACACGAACTATTTCTTGCTTATGATGAGTTCTCTCTTTCAACGCTTGAACCTCCATTGATTTTGCAAGAGTTTGTCAATCATGGTTTGTAAACTGATACACAAGTCTGAATGTTTTATATGGTTAATTTAATTTACGTGGTAATATACTGAGGGATGTTTGACATTGCAGGTGGTCTTCTCTTTAAGATTTATATTATTGGGGAAACCATAAAGGTTGTTAGGCGTTTCTCTCTGCCTAATATCAATAAACATGATCTGTCAAAAGTGGCTGGTGTAATCCAATTTCCAAGGGTTTCAAGTGCTGCAGCTTCTGCAGATGATGCTGATTTAGATCCCAATATTGCTGGTGAGACTTGGAAAATTTTCTTCCTCCTCCTGCCAAAAGAATAAAAAAAGGATATTTGTTTATGAACTAGTCTTTCATCTGTATGCTCCAATCAATGGCATCTGTTTAGCCTTTTACAAAGAGGTACTGTTTAGTTCAAACCTCAAATAAGATCTCTATATTGTATTCATGAGTGAATTTGAACTCTTTTATTCCCCCGTTTCATTAGGCTGTAGTTAGGTTGACATATGTATATTCGAGTAAATGTTTGGAACAAGTGGCTCCTTTGCACTTAATGGAGTATTCTTGTTGCAGAATTTCCTCCAAAACCCTTGTTGGAAAGGCTTGCAAGGGAGCTTCGTCAGAGATTGGTAATTTTGGATTGTTTTACTTCCTTTTGCTGCGACAGTCTCTTTCTTTTCTTGATGGTAAACTTAAAATTAACGGCACCACCATGTCCAGGGTCTCCGCTTGTTCAACATGGATATGATCCGGGAACATGGGACCAAGGATGTCTTTTACGTCATTGATATCAACTACTTCCCTGGCAAGTACCGTTTATTTTTTGTATTTACTATTTAAGCGATCTATGTAGTTTCTGGTTGTTATTGCGAATCTATTATGAATTATGGTGTGCAGCCTTCAACCCTGTCAGAGGGATTTCCCTTATTAATCTGTTATGAACTTCTTCCGTCTACACCCTGTATGTTTAGGTCCAAATGATAATTTAATTTGCAGTCTTGTTCATGAAAACTTGCTCTGTTTGTCAGAACTCAGAACTCAGAACTCAGAACTAAGATTATGTTAGGCAATGGTGTAAGAAATTAAGTGTTGGTGTGTGTATGCATCTTTCTCTCGGCATACGCATTAATTGGGTAATAAGTATTAATACGATTTCATCACATTCACTGAATATAGTGAGTATTCCAGATTTGGCGTACACCCTTAGGAATGGGCACGTGGTATAAATCTAGAATTTGATTTAGATGGCCCCTATCTTATTTTTGTAATTTCATATTTAGAAGATTGATATTTTGCAGCTGGTTTATTTAAAATAAAAATATTAAATCTAAATTTTTTACAAAATAGTAAGATTTTGGCTGTTCAAATCTAAGCTGAAAGGTCCAGATGTTTGAGATATGCACTGATCCATATTATGGGGCTGCTTGGGTAGCTTTTTCGAGAGGTCTAAATATGCCTCTTAATGCTGTCAAGCACCCAAATTTGGAAAATGTTTTGGTCACAAACTAGTGTAAAACTTTAGTTATACTGAGGTCGGATGTTCGGTCAGGCCTCTTGATAATGTTACATTGACAAAGCACAAGGAAGTAGGAGTCCAGGAAGCCTTTTCTTTTTTTTTTTTTTGGGGGGGGGGTAATTTTTTTCTCGAGACAATAATTACAACACTCTCACAAATACTCTGTACGTCACAGCGCACAACCTTTACAGACATCATGGAAACACCAAGTACAAATGAAATAGGAATATTACAGCTTGTAACATTTCAAGAATTTCTGTAAGCCAACACACGTTGCCTCTGGACCATAGTCACACCAATACAGCAAGAACAGACAAGACACAACGTGTATAACAAATTTTTTTTTTTTTTTTTAAAAAGACAAGACACAACAGTGGAAGCGGATCTGGTAACAGGTGTTAGACTAGGTAGGACAAGAACTTCACAATGCCTGTAACATATCTTATCAGTGGCTATATGAACAGTTTGTTTGCATGTATGTCCTTTCTAATAGTTGTGTAAGATTTCGTCTTGCATGTATGCAGTTTATTAGCTTGTTAGATATTTATTGTTTTGAGTTCCTAATAATGCGCTTGCACCGATTACTATTATTCTGGCTAAACATTATGTCAATTTGTCCCTGCAGGATATGGAAAAGTACCAGACTATGAGAATACATTTACAGAGTTTCTTCTTAGCCTAGCGCCCAGCAAGTGTAAGAGGAGACCGCCTACTCTCGGATGAAGGAACTGTACATAGATCCGTTAAAGGTTTCTTGAGTGAGAAGTGGGAAACACTAGGCTTAACATCATCTAAGTGCAGCTTTGATGTCCGAAAGTTCCTTTTAAGAAGGGCTATCATTTTATTTTTCTGGTGATATATTTTAGGATTTAAGACGCTTTTGGTTTATCTAGTTTTTGCAAAACTCAATTTTGCCCTCTTAGAGCAATCTAATTCTGATTCTTAGTCACATATTCGCCCGAAGTTTTAACCGATCAAATTTAATACTCCTCTGATCCTTAATATAAGATCTATTTAACTAAGTTGATTAGATTAAGGAAGTTAAATAAGTTAGTTAATTATGAGAAATATGATATGTTTTTTTTGTAAAACACCATAATTATCTTCCTTAATGTCTTCTCTCTCTTTTATTTGATTATAGTTGAAGGAGTATTTATAAGTGTAATTTAGAAAAAAATAATAAATATAAAAAACAGATTGTATATTTAGGATCGGAGGAATAATATCAACTAACTTGTTGATATGAATGATAAGGTTTTGAGAACTCATATTTTGGTAACCATGGCATCCATTCGGGGAAAAAATACTACTTCCGGTTCTTAATATAAAATCCTGTTTGACTTTTATTTTGGTTTTAAATATAAGATCTCAATCAACTTTGTCTCTTATAGTTATACTTTTTTTTCAAATTAGCTCTTCTAATAATGATAGTTCTAGTCAATATACTTGATTATTAAGGATATTTTAAGAAAGACAACACCTATTTAGGACAAATAACTAACTCAACTTATTTTCTTAATCTCCTCAAATTAATTAATTGACTCTTATAATTAGGACCGAAGGTAGTATTGTATAGTGGAGGATAGGAATGTCCTTTCTGAAATCAATTGAAAAGTAAAATTGTCTTCTACTTTCTTACTATTTCTGACTGTGCTAGACTGCATGATAATGAAAAATCAGTGCATATTTTTTTATTAATAATTAATTTAACTATTTTTTAAATTTATTTAAATTAGTTAAATAGGTCATATATTAAGGATGGATGTATTATCGTTTTTATTTTGTCAACTAGTAAGATTTAGTTTGATTTAGCAACAAGTTACATGGCTAGTGCCTTCTTCAACAAGCTCACACATGCATGGTGCATATATATGGTTCATGAAATGGATTTAGTTAACGTAATTCTAGCTAATTTTATCAATTAATCGCTTTATAACTCTTTTCATGGGTCCTGTAAGAGAGAAATAAGGAGTCAACGGTGGAAATTCACATGTCAAGATACTTCCATTACTTTATCTCTTTCTTGACTAACCCAGACAATTGTAGCACAAAAACTAATTGGTTGTAGCAGAATTAACTGTTCTGTGTCAATTAGATTAACGGTGGTCTCTGTACACTCTAGATTTTCATAATTATCATCAAGCAAAGTCAACTTTCAGCTGCAAATCAGTGTTCAAAGAATATGTCAAGAGATAGGAGTAACGGGGCTATTTATTTGATTTTATTTCTCCCAAGAGACAGAGTAATTCATAATAACTTTAGGGCATGAACCAAACCAAAGTTTTTAATATAAATAATTAATAAACAACTATATATTTAATTGATTAATTCAATTTATCTTATTACACGTTTAAAATATTTTCAACTTAGTTTTCAATAAAACATATAGAATTATCCAATATGAATATAAAATACTACCTCTAGTTTTAAATGTAGAAATTTGATAACTAATTTTTAAAGATTAAGAAAATTAGTTAAGAAAGTTATTTATAAAATATGGGGATTAGTTTTGCTACAACACTTCTTGATGGAAATTTAAAAATCTCTTAATATATATAAGCAATAGGGCAAGTTTAAGGGAAAAATTATAAAATAGATTAAGATATTATATTTAAAATTAAAACGACATTATTCGCCCCTTCTTAAATTGAGAACCGGAGTGAATATTTGATATGAAAACAATCTTTTAATTGACATAGCTGGTCTCCATTTCAATCTAACCACTTCTTTTGTGGAGTTCAAAGAAGACACGAAGTCACCTTTCCTTCAACTTTTCAAATAAGCAGGACCTCTAACCTCTCAGAGATTTATAACAATACGTACTTACAAACCTTAACTTAGACCATATAGATCTTATTATTCATGAAATTAAGGGCAAATAATATATCATAATAAATTATACTACATTCGGTCCTTAATATAAAAATTAGTTGAGAGTTGAATTTAGTCCTAAATATAAGATTGTAATTCACTTTGTCTCACATCTCTTCCCAAAATATTCCTATTAATTGTAAGAGTTTTCCATAAAGGAATAATTCTAATAATCCAATTAGGATGTATAGTTTAGAGAGATTAATATACATTTGTGATAGAAAAATAATTAACTTAATCAATTTTCTTAATATCTCCAAGTTAGTTATCTAATTCTTATATTAAGGAGTAAAGGTAGCATATCTAAGCAGCTTGTCTAAAACTCTTCCTTGAAAATGCACAACCATGAGTTGTAAAGTGGGTTTAAATCTGTAAGATAAAAGACTCATTGCATAGTTTCCTCTTTTTCTTTTAAACGTATCTAGATGTATCAATGGATTGTGTGTGAAAACTAGATAGATAGCAGCATAAAAAAGTCATATTACAAATGCTTTCATAATCTCTTTCTAATTTTTGCAACTGAAAAAGGTCATTATGTGCAGAAATGGAATATTTGTGTGTCTTTGTCATCAATCCCATTCTAAAAAGAGATGCCATGTTTCCATCTTTCCAGATTTAGCTTCTGATACAAAAGCAAGTGTTAAACCTGTATATCCGCCATATTATCCCATTTTTAGTTAACCAAATTAAAGTATTTAATAAATAAAGAGCCGCAAAATGTTTTATTTGAAAATTGAAAATGGGAAAACGCAGTTTCAGTAAATTACGGTGTAGTAAAAATTTCACAAAAGAAATATTACAAAGATTAATTTTATAGGATTTGGTATCGATGCATAAAGTAAATTAGGATAAAAAGCTCCGCGTTTGTTTGTTGAAGAGAACATCTTGGATTACTCCAGTGTATCACTTATTAGTAAAAAAATATAGACTCATAATTTCACAGTTAACCATTAAACTTTTTTTTTTCCCATGGGAAAAAAGACCAGGTCAATATATTTCAGTGAATTCAGTGGAATTTTCATAGTTTTTTTTTCAAAGATAAGATTGAGTTATATAATATAACATACTTCTCTAGTCTTACTACAAAAAAGATTTTTTGTCCTATTTGTAACTTTATTGAATTTTTTAAATATAAATGTATTATTTTATTTGCTTATGTATTATTATATAGATTGTTATCTTCTTGAAAAGTGTCGGTATTAAATAGGAAAAAAAACCAAAAAATTAAATTTTAAAGAAGAATTAATGGAGTTTAAATTTTTTATTGGTTCTGATAAAATATATTAGAAGTGACTAATAAATAAAATCAGATGAGTAACTAAACAGGCTAATTATGGTCACCATTTCCAAACATTAAAGTTCCTACCATATTTAACATAAAATCACCCCCTAATTATAACATTGAATCCAATGCCATTATAGTCATTATCAGAGAGATTTTTTAAAAAATCTCAAACCCTGAAAAAATATGAATGTAACCAATATTTGTAATAATTATTCTGACACCTAATTAAGACAAATGGTTTGTCCCACAAAACCACTGTGTTGAACCCTTCCCAGAAGCCCTATAAATTGACCCCAGCTCCATCCCTTTCTGTGTACCATTCAAACACTGATTTTTCTCTTCAATTCCTTTATTCTATCTTTCTGTGTCACTTGTGAATTTGCAGTTTAATCTCGGCCATGTCGTCGTCGAGCTCAAATGCAGGTGGAAGGAGGAGTAAGGGTCGCCAGAAGATTGAGATAAAGAAGATGGAGAATGAAAGCAACCTGCAAGTGACCTTCTCGAAGCGACGAGCCGGCCTCTTCAAGAAGGCCAGTGAGCTTTGCACTCTCTGTGGGGTTGAGGTTGCCCTAATCGTCTTCTCTCCCGGCGACAAGGCTTTCTCGTTCGGCCATCCAAGTGTCGATGCTGTTTTGGACCGTTTCCTGAATGGTGGTGTGCCACCACAGCCTCCGTCAGCTTCCATGCAGATGATGGAGGCTCACCGGAGCGCTGCCGTCCAGGAACTTAACGATCAGCTCACTCGCCTCATGGAAGAGCTAGAGGTGGAGAAGAAGCACGGAGAAGAACTCAACAGGAAGTTGAAGGAGATGGAGACCAAGTTCTGGTATGCTCAACCGATTAATAGTCTCACCATGGATCAGCTAGGGAGCTACAAGGCGCGTCTGGAGGAGATGAAGAAGACAATGTGGGGCCGAGCTGATCGGGCTATGCTCCATGTTGCTTCAAATGCCAACAAACCTTCTCAGTTCTATGTGGGTAGCAGCTCTTCCGCGGGCTGCCGGCTGCCGCCGCCACCACCGCCAACGCAGAATATGGCAGCTCCACCTCCACCAGCCCAGGTGTTTCCTCCCCCTCTCGCGCAGCCATTCCTGCAGCAATCTCCGATAATGTTCGAAGGAAACATGATGATGTCGCCACCCCCGCCTTTGCCTCCGCCTCCTCCACCACCTGCTCCTCAAGGATTCCAGCAGTATCAGAACCTGGAAGAGAACAGCGGAGCAGGATACTGTTGATCTGTTGAGGTTGTCTCTCGCAGGAGAATGCCCTGTTTATGTCCAAACTTCAGTTGTTGGACTCTTTTCAGCCTTTGGGATTGGGTTATGTTTCATTGTCATGTCGTTTTTCTCGGTGTCTGCGTAGGTGCCGAACGTGGGTTCTAATGTTTCTTGTTTTCATGTGTCATTTCCTGTTTGTTTTGTGATAGTGCTTTTTAATAATTATAATAACAATGATAAAGGGCTTTCTCTTATTCCTGTGTGAGCATACCTCTTCAAAATTCGGATGGTAAAGTTCAACTAATGAATATAATGAAGGTATTGATTCAATTGATCTTCGAGAAAAACTGTTAATTAGATGAACAATAATTCAGACACTAGAGAATATAATCTTACGAACTCAGCATCGATCGATATGCGTACTGGAACAAGCTTTCTTCATAGTTAATCACATCAAGAGTTGGAATTTTCCAATTTTTTTCTCAGAAATGATAAATTAAGCTTTATAATAAGTAGATTTCACATATTGAGGAACGAGAATAGTGTCAGTATCCAGAGAAGAAGATGGAATTGTACTATGGAATGA